TAACTCCTAAAATTCAAGGAGATTTAGCCTACTATAAAATATTAATATGGATTTACTTTAACTCCACAAAAGTTCACGTGATTAACAATTTTAGTCTACAAGCCAGCTGGGTATTTATATATCGGAAACACGTGAGCTCAGCAAACCTTAAATTATGGATCTGAATTGGACAGCAAACCTTAAGTATGCCAAACAAGGCCCTGGAAGTTGGAACTACTCAATAATGGCCGGGAAGCTAAAGAGATTTGTTAAATTCAACGTGGTCCATGAGAAATATGAAATTAATAGGACCTTTAATTAATATAAATGTTTATTGAGATATGACCAAAGTATATAAACCTCTCGCTGATAAATCTTGGTATATAAATTGAATAATAAAATAAAGAATTTTCCTTGCACTAAAAGTGTAGAAATGGTAGGAACACGCATTGGCAGGCAGACAGATTGGCGGTCGACCGCGTTCGTGCACGAGACTTACTGGGCGTCAGGATTGGTTGGGCTGGGTCTGTTTCCAGACCCGTTTCATTTGGGTTTTCTATAAATACTCAAACTCGGTTCTGGGGTTTGTAAGGCAAGTGTTTTGAGCTGTTGAAAGGGGTTTTCTTTAGGCTTCTATTCTAGGGGCATTTGGAGAGATCAAGAGTGAGTTGTTGTGGGTTTTGGTAAGAGATTTGTAACCCTAGTTTGTTCCTCTTAATTTCTAATAGTAAAAACTCCCCCCCCCCCCCCTCTCACCTAAAACCCCCCCCCCCCCCCTCCTTACCCCGTGGACGTAGGCATCTCGCCGAACTACGTAAAATCTGGTGTTTGATTGTTTGTGCTATTGTTTGGTGTGGTTGTTTATCTCTCTCGGTTATTTGATTGGATCTCGACATTATAAGGGTTTCTCCCCAACAATTGGTATCAGAGCTCCGGGCAACGCTTGGGCTTTTTGGAAGTATAGATTAGTTGGGAAGTTCATCTAGAGCTTCGATTGGTGATAAAGATTGGATCTTTGTGGTAAAGTTTCTATCTTTTTTAAGTTGGATCTCTATTTGTTCCGCAATAGTTTGGGTGCTTTGAGATATATGGTCGAAAAAAATAAAAGTGGGGAGGGTTCTTCTAGTGTGAAGGCCGTCCAAAGTTTGAATATACATTCTATAAAAATAGATGTGGAAAAGTTCAACGGCATAAATAATTTTGGACTTCGGCGATGTGAAGTCATGGATGCGCTAAATGCGCAAAATCTGAAAGATACGTTGGAGTTGGACGGGAAACCGGACAACATGGATGAAAAGGTTTGGAATAAAATGAATAGAACGGCGTGTGGTGTGATTAGGTCTTGCCTTACCCAAGATCTAAAATATGATGTGATGAATGAAACTTCGGCAAAGAAGGTTTAGGAGGTCCTAGAGGGCAAATATTTGACGAAGAGCATCGAAAATCGTTTGCATTTGAAGAGGAGGCTTTATCGCTTCCAATTGAAGAAGGGGACATCCATTAGTGATCACATGAACCACTACACGAAGCTACTTGCAGATTTGACGAATGTGGATGTTATAGTTGAAGACGATGACAAGGCATTGTTGTTATTAAGTTCCTTGCCCGACGAGGAATATGAGACCTTCGTCCTCACTCTTATTAATGGGAAGGCATCTCTTTCGTATAGTGAGGTCACCGCAGCCCTTGTGAACTATCAACTTCGAAAGAAGGATAATGAGGCTTCCATTGAGCCGGTTGCGGGGGCATTGGTTGCAAGAGGTAGAAGTCCAAACAGTGGTAGGAGGTCGCAGTCTAGAGGGGGGCATCCTGCAGTTGGCAGGAGTCAGTGTGCCTTTTGTAGAGAAGATGGACATTAGAAAGCCGAATGCCCAAAATTACAAGCCGTGAAGAATAAGGGGAAAGTTGTTCAAGCTTCAGAGGTGAATGTTGCCAAGGCTAGTGGTGACATTTTAGATTCAGATTCTTCGGGCTATTCATGCCCAACTCTTCCGTCAGTTGGTGTTGCCGACTCCACCGAGTGGATGTTGGATTCGGGTGCTACTTACCACATATACCCTAGGAGGGATTGGTTCTCCAGGTTTTAGGAGTTGGAAAGAGGGGATGCTGTACTTATGGGTAATGATCACAGATGCCCTATTGGTGGTATTGGTACTGTTCGTATTCGGACGAGTGAATGGATGATTCGGGAGTTGGTTGATGTGAGGTTTGTTCCTCAACTGAGGAAGAACATCATTTCACTTGGGGTATTGGAGGCATCAGGCTATAGGGTGACCTTGGCGGATTCTCTCTTGAAGGTCACATCAGGGTCCATGATTGTGATGAAGGGCATCAGGAGGAGTAACTTGTATTATCTGCTTGGGCGCACGATGGTGGATAGAGCGCTGACGACTTCTTTGGCTAGACTGTGGCATTGGTTGGTGATAAGGTATATTATTGGTTATGCCGTGCATAGATTGTTGAGGAGTGCTATGACTTGTAGATTGAAGTCATGTGAGCACATTGGGATGAGCAAGGAGACCAAGATGGAGTTCAACACTTTTATCCATCAATCGAGTGGTCTTATTGGAGGTGTTCAGTCAGGCATTAGGGGGCCTTCCATGGAGGCATCAGTGGGAGGTAATCGCTATTTTGTTTCCTATGTTGAGGATTGTACTAGGCATATATGGGTTGCAACCAAGTCCCATTGGTCTGACGCCCTAGTAGTCCGCAACAGTTGGAGGAGCTGTATTGGCAGAAAGGTTACCCGACATACTAGTTCTAATAGGGGTTCTTTCTTGCATTGGTTCCGAGCTCATGGCAGTTGGAGATACTTCAGAGGAGAGGAGACAGTGGGGCGACGTGATGAGATGGCAGATTTAGTGGGTCGTTCTTTTCTGGAGGAGGATCGGCGTTGGTTGTCGAGCAGTGGATTTGGTATTCGGGCTTCGACACGATTAGGCTATCTTATGAGGTTGCCAACTGCTACGTGTAGAGTTGTTAGATCTGGTGGAGCTGTTTCAGATTTTGGTCGGCGTCGGATATTTGGCTACCCAACACTTGGTCACATCGTTGATGTGAGATTGGATCCGATTGCGCATTTGGGATTCAGGAGTTCATTCGGCTATCAGTTGGGAGCTTTTGAGTTTGGTCTGAGCAGGTTTGTCACTTTGGACTCTTGGCAGGTAGAGAGTATTGAACAGATCAGAGGGATACCATAGCGGGTGAAGGTTGATGCTACTCCACATCGAGTAGAGCTTATTCCACATACTCCAGGTCATTTTTTATTAGTTGGGATTCCGGCTGAGGTGACACTGTTTGGGGATCAGATTGTTCAGGATGCAAATGACAAGTTGGTAGATCCGTGTGCAGCTGGTGGATATAGCTTGGATATGGCCATTGGTTCACCTCAGGTGGAGGTGTTTGGATCGTTTCAGTATGGGGTCGTTGGTGATGCTATCAGTCGCGCATTGGATGTTGGTATTGGTGAAGAGTTGAAGACTCTTCTTTTGCATTGAGGGCCTTTGGAGGCCATTGGGTGAACTACGTGAATGCTTGATTCCTTGGAGAGGATACGTAGGCAGTCAGTTATGATGTAGCCGATTTGGTGAGTAGACACAGTTGTTTTGGGGTGAGTGTTCGCACTCCCGTTTGGGTCTCGACATGTTGTGGATGGGCTCCGTTGTCATGAGTCCGTTGCCATGACATACTGGATGCAACAAGCGAGTCATTGGTTTGGTTGGTGTCGGCTCAGTTCAGTAGAATCTTCGCCGAGGTGGAGATTTGTAGAAATAGCAGGAACATGCATTGGCAGGCAGACAGATTGGCGGTCGACCGCGTTCGTGCACGAGACTTACTGGGCGTCAGGATTGGTGGCGGTCGACCGCGGCGGTCGACCGCAGAAGTTTCTGTTTTCTGTCTGTGGACGGTCGACTACCGCGGTCAACCGCAGAAGTCTCTGGACCATGGGGCTGTTCTGGATTGAGGGCGGTCGACCGCCGTAGCGGTTTTGGGCTGGGTCTGTTTCCAGACCCGTTTCGTTTGGGTTTTCTATAAATACCCAAACCCGATTCTGGGGTTTGTAAGGCAAGTGTTTTGAGCTGTTGAAAGGGGTTTTCTTTGGACTTCTATTCTAGGGGCATTTGGAGAGATCAAGAGTGAGTTGTTGTGGGTTTTGGTGAGAGATTTGTAACCCTAGTTTGTTCCTCTTGATTTCTAATTGTTGTGGGTTTTGGTGAGAGATTTGTAACCCTAGTTTGTTCCTCTTGATTTCTAATAGTGAAAACTCTCCCCTCCTTGCCCCGTGGACGTAGGCATCTCGCCGAACCACGTAAAATCTGGTGTTTGATTGTTTGTGCTATTGTTTAGTGTGGTTGTTTATCTTTCTCGGCTATTTGATTGGATCTCGGCATAAAGGTTTCTCCCCAACAAAAAGTAATACTCATCGCTCTCAAATATAAGTTGCTAAACCATTCTATTCCACACACACAAAAACACATTCACATGCGCACAAACACCACTACACCGAAACTCCATCTAGTTTTAAGGGGTAAGATTCTGAACGAATATTTGACAAGCAAGAAAATCGAACTTTCATATTGTTATGTTTTATTCATTTACGAACGCAAATACTAAAAGCTATTAATTTAGTGTTAAATAAACTATCGAATTCAATACAACCGAGTGGTTCCTCTAATAATTAACCGATAACTAGCTGATATAGTTCAAGCTTGAAATGTTCTGACATATGTCAAAAAATCCAGTCACTCCACCAAAGCTTTAAAATTGTGGCGATATTAGAAGTTTTTAATTTCATATCTCAAACTCTCGCTTACTCCAAGTTAATTAGTTTGTTTGATCTGAACTCGTGACAAACGAAAGAAATGTCCCATGCCAGTCCTACCAAATTTTGTTTTGTTTTTTTAGCTTATATCCCAAATAGTCTGTCGTCCTCAGAGTCCCAACACGAATGGGCCCACATGCCACTTACAAGGTAACAAAGAGGCCCAAAATAAACTGTCCTTCTTTAATCTCAAGAATAAACCTGAAAAGATCTCCCCCATTTAAAACCTCTCCTTTCCTTTGTTCTGTTTCCCCCCAATGCATGTTCTCTAAAATTCCCCCCTTTCCAGTTATCTCCTCTCTCGCTCTCTCAAGATCAGATCAAAATTTGGCATCTGAGCACGATTCCGTTCCCTCAAGATCTCACCTTTCCTAATTTTTCACCCGAAAGGTCAAATTTTGACACCTGGGTTTGATCCATTTCAGGTTTTAAATCAACCCCCTCATGGATCCGCAGGGACACGGCACTCCTCCTCCAATGAACCCCGCGGTCCAATACCCCGCGGGAACACCGTACGCAGCTTTCCAACACCTCTACCAGCAGCAACAGCAGCAACAGAACCAACAGCTCCAGCTCTTTTGGGCCGATCAGTACCGAGAGATCGAACAAACCACAGATTTCAAGAACCACAACCTCCCATTGGCCAGGATCAAGAAGATCATGAAGGCCGACGAGGACGTGCGCATGATAGCGGCCGAGGCGCCCGTGGTCTTCGCCCGTGCCTGCGAGATGTTCATCCTCGAGCTGACCCACCGCGGGTGGGCCCACGCCGAGGAGAACAAGAGGAGGACTTTGCAGAAGAATGACATTGCGGCGGCCATCACGAGGACCGATGTGTTTGATTTCTTGGTCGACAATTGTGCGAGAGAGGAAGGGAAAGAGGATGGGATTGCGAGGACGGCGATGGGAGTGCCGGCGGGTGCTGACCCGATGGCATATTATTATGTGCCCCAGTGAGCAAAGATGGATTGGTGACAATGTGAGTGTTTTGTGTGACTACGTTTCTAATTGTTGCCTTGGTTATCTATTTCTTTTCATCTTATCAGTAGATTAGGTTGGTGTAGAGAATTATGTTTCTGGAGTTTCTTTTTTAGTAACTCTTCGTGTTACTCTTGCACCTTTTAACTAATGTGTTGTTCGTGAGTATGGGAAGTTGCTTGTTTTTGGGGTAAATTTTACAGTGCTTGGCAAATCTACATTAAACTATGTTTTGTTAGAGGTATCTGTTATTTTCAAAATGGCAGAAGACACCATGAACCACTAGAAAATGCTGGTAATGCATCAGCGTTTTGAATAAAAGGCCCAACTATCCTTCTTTATACTCACAGAGTTCATAACATTACCCAGAAAATATGTGAAATACATTAGAGGAAATTTTCGAGAACATGTCATGTCACACGCGAAGTGTTTTCAGGCATACTAGTTTAGTGAAAAATGATCATGATAAAGTTCTCTGATAGAAAACGTGTATGTTACCTTTGTGCAAATCATGCTAAAGTTCGTTGTAGTTTTATGAAATTCGACCTTTTTGTTGTAACGTGTTGCAGAATGCTTGTTGCCTTATCTTGTGGCATATTAGGAGAGAGGAAAGTTTTGGGAGGAAAACCCAGTCAAAATCAGTCAGTTAAACTGTCAATTTTGAGAAAGATATGTGGAGTTGTACTGTGGTTGATTATCTTGCAGTCTCTTGTATAAATTTTGCTTTTATTGTGTTTGTCGTTGGTCGTTTTGTCTATTGTATATATTGAACTCATCATTAGGAGACTTTTTAGAGCATATTAATGTATCTATTAGCATGATATGATTCAAATGTAATTGTGACCAATCTGTGGCATTCATGAGGCACCATGGGGTTGTAGTTTAAAAGGAAGGACAAATTTTCAAAACCATCCCATTTTGAAATTTATTTATAAAAAACGACCCCTTTTAGCCTTAATTGCAAAAACCGACCCAGTTTGTTGAAACTGGGTCGGTTTTTGAAAAAAAAAATTCCAAACTTCACGGGAGTTCAACTCCCGTGAAGTTTTTTCTCATAACAAAACTTCACGGGAGTTCAACTCCCGTGAAGTTTGAAAAAAAAAATTTCAAAAACCGACCCAGTTTCAACCAACTGGGTCGGTTTTTGCAATTAAGGCTAAAAGAGGTCGTTTTTTATAAATAAATTTCAAAATGGGATGGTTTTGAAAATTTGTCCTTAAAAGGAACTAAGGATTAATTAGTTTTTGAGTTAGCAGAGGGCATGAAAATTACTAGAGCTCGATGGGAAAAAGAGGATCTGCCTAGCGAAGAAATTTGGGAATTGGGATTGTTGTTTTGTTACCTCTAAAGTCTCCGCTAATGTGAGTGATGATGCATGTCGACATGCATGGCAGCATATATTGACATATGTGTGTATAAGACAGACTGGCTTAAATAATACCCAAAACATTGGAATTATTGTTGCCATGTGCTTATACCTCTAAAATCCATCTGATGTGAGTGGAGATTGATGTAGATACTAGACACCTGCATGGAAGCCTGGTAAGTTTGTGGACATGACATGCACGTCCATCCATGCCTGGCCCATGAGCGCTTAAACTTTATAGCTCAGCTAAAGAAAATTTACATGATCAATTATGTTAGCCATTTTGACAAAGCTTGTGTTTTCATTACTGAGCTTCCTCTTGAAGGGTCTTGTAGATGCTTTGACAGTGAAACATTTAAATTTGTCTATGTCAAATATACATATATCAAGGGAGGAATGCTAGCCACAGTTCGCGACTGTGGCTGAAGTATTATGCTTACACCCCTAATGCAAGCCTACTTTAGGCCACATGTCCCGTAATTCAGCCACAGTCGCGAGTTTCGCAACTGTGGCTAGCATTCCTCATATCAAGGTAAACAGGTATATAGACTATGTCACCACATGTGGCTTTTCGAGAAAGATTGTGGTGAATCTTCTGGTACATTTAGGCTTGGAGTTGGAAAGTCTGCCTTTAGGAGTTTCACCTGGATTAAAAGGATTTTGGTACATGTTTTTAAGTTTCAATATACGTTTAATTAAGTAATAGGGCTTGTGAATGTCTAAAGTATAAAACCAAATAGACTATAAATTTTTATAATGCAGTCAACATTATTGAACAATAGAATCATATGGTTTTACAAACAAAAAATTTGGGCCATTTTTAGTAAATATTAGCAGAAAGATAGGCAGTTAAGTGTGGTAGCACTAGCTTACTTTTAGCATTGAAGCCAATTGAATACGTGGAGATATGTTCTAGATGGTGATTCTATAATAGCACTAGCGGTAGTATCAAAGCTATTGTAATTTGTAAGAACAATTTGTATAGACGCGAAAGAAGTATTTGAGTAACCTATATTGTGATTATCAGTAAATAATATAGATGTAATAGTAAAAGAAGTGAGGATGTGTCGTTGTTGTTGTGGAACTAATAGCGATGTAATAAGAAAACAGAAAATTTTCTTGAAAGTCAGATGTGACTCATAGAGGATGAAGTGAGCAGATTGTATAAAAAAATTAATGTTTGGAACAATTACAGACATTTTCTGGTGAAAATCTTGAATAATTTGGGAACTATTAGAGTGATATCTGCAGAGGTCTTTGATGGTTATATCGAGCAGTTAATTTCATTGTTGCTCGCTAAAGACTTATCTATGGAAGTTACCTCTATGTAAGTTAAATTTTCCTTTGAATTACTCTTCTGGAAACATTTCACAACTTCCTGAGTTACTTTAGGACTATGTTCTAAATAATAACGACCTATCTTTGAAATGCTTAGCTTATTAGTTAGTGATGTTCTTGCTGTTGGATTCTTTTTTTCCATAGTTGCCTTTTCTATAATTTACTTATTTCCACTTCAACGCAAAAGTTCATGTATATGCTTTCTAAATTAATGTTTATCGATATACAGCAGTTTGCTTCGTTTAGTTTCTACGTTCTCAATCATTGCCAAGTTATGATCTTGTATTTTGATGACAAGCATACTAGAATTAGAGGATTTCTTCTTCTTCTTCTTCTTTATTAAATACAGGAATCAGGATTAGGGATATTGCTGCATCTTAATGCTTTGGCTGTGCCTATGCCACACATTGCAGCTCAATTGATACCCTTCATGGACTCTTTTTCAGATTTTTTTCAAAAATTTCCCATGGATATCATGTCCCAAAGCAACCTCATCTTTCTGAAAAAGCACCATGAGCAACTTTTTCATTTTATTGTTCATTGATCATTTAATTTAAAGATAGTGGTCAATATTTTTTGTTGATGAAGCTCTAGTTATTTCTGTTCAACTGATGGCCTGTGTTCTTGGAGCGTTTCTTGCTATTCCGACTTACTTCATTGTTGCTTTTTTTCTTAATAAATTTGAACAATATTACTTATGCTGTCAATGATCTCATGACTGTGGTAGCTTTCCTCACCTCTGACTTTTTCTTTTTTTAGAGACTTATTGATGTCATGGTTTTCCTTCATCTACTTTGATCTTGATTTCTACAAATATATGCTTTTCTCAACCCTATATTTTGAGGATCTTCAGTATTCTTTTTGTGCAAAAGATGACCATATCTTTTTTCTCTTTATTCAAATGTGCACATGCATCCATAGTTCTCCTGAATAACTGTTTTAATTAATAACGTACTTTTCTTTGCTTTTCAATAGATGAATTTTAAGGATTTGGATCCTCTCCACTACAAAAAAGTAGTGGAGAGATCACTGCTTTTAATCTCAATCGTTGATTATTTAGTAGGCGGTTATGATACAATCTAAATCTAATAGTTACCATACCCCCGTGTATTGCACTCATTCCTAATTTACACTAAAAGAAAAAATCACAACCATTAATTAGATAATCAATGGCCGTGATTATGTAGTGGTCCATCCACTGTTTTTTTTTTTGTAGTGGAGAGTATCCGAATCCGAATTTTAAAGCCTGCAATATAACAAATTTTGTATTTCCGTCTAGATAAAAATTTCCTTTTCTGTTGGAGAAATGGAAGAAATCTGAGCATTTGATTTTGACTCGCGCGATGTGTCTTCCCCTTAAATCTGAAACCTTCCAGAAAATAGAAACCATGCGTGCTGCTCTATCAGAAAAGCTCTTGAACAATAAAACAACTGCAACAAATAGCATAATCAATTCGACGACCCATACAAATAATCATCTCCACAATGAAAGATTTCAAGCCAAATGCATAATCTTTACTTATTACATACTATCTACAATGACATAGCACGCTCACACAGTCACACAGATTGCGGACTATCTGAATTGCAAAACTGAAGTTATTTCAAGGCTAAATGGCACTTTACTACCCTATTGTTTCACAGCCTTTACACTCATGGGTGGATCTAATGCCTTGCATCCTTAGATTTTTATGATTTGCATGTAAAATTATGCAATTTTAACATCCACCCTCCTATAATTTTTTAAAATTCCGCCTCAAGTCCCAAGCAATCTGAAAACACTAGAGAAATTAGCAACAATTTGAATTGGCACATTAGAAAGTAAAACATCCATATAAAATTTTAACAATAGAGAAATTAGTAACAATTTGAATTAGCCCATTAGAAAGTAAAAAAAGGCCATATAAATTTTTAACAATAAACTGTACTAAGTACATTCTTTAAATTTTTAAAAAGAAAATGTACTAAGTACATTCTCATCGTATACTATAATTTTATTTTTAGATATATAGATATTCCGCCCCCCCCCGCCCCCCCCCTGCAAATGGAAATTTTTCTAGGATGCTGGCCTGCTGCTTAAACTTAAATACTCTAAGTTGTAAAAAATAGCATTTTAATTGTCAAAAAATAGCACTTTAATACATTAAGTTGTAAAAAATGGCATGTTAGTACGTGTCATTTTTGTAATTATATTGATCTTATTTATTGTCATATTTATCACTATATCTACCCTTCATCTTTTTATTAATTTTTATGGAGGGGTATTTTTGTCATAACGAGTTTTTTTAACGATGCTTACCATATTCCAATGGGGGACAACTTAGGGTTAGGGTATTTATGTGCTAGTTTTTATAGTTTAGAATATTTTAAGTGTGGAAGTGGTGAACCAATAGGATATGTGAGTGTCATTTAACCTTATTTCAAGGATCACACAATCTATGCTAGTTTACAGCCACCCAAGATTGAAAAG